TAATATTTCACTTACCTGGTAAGATTTATTAAAATTCCTTATGAATCATAATATTCCAAATGTACATCATCATGTAACGAATAAATAGGGACCTAACGTAAAATAATTATTACGAATAGATTCACATTTACGTCACAATGCTAAAGCGCGCCAAATTCTGTATGACCTTTAGCGGATTTTTAAAATAAACATCGATCTGATTTATAAACGTCAACATGAGAATAAGCTAACAAGAAATATTGATATTGAAATGGCCTGCAATGTTAAGTGTCGAAAACAATGGGCCCATATAATGAAGGATCTTTTAAATATCAATCATATTTTATATTTCGAATTTTACGAAAGTTTTAAAATGAAAAAAAGAAAACATGACAAGTTCATCAAGTTCATATGATTTTCCGCGTAGAATTCAAAACAAGAACAGTGTTCAAAGGCTGTCGACAAGGATTAAAGAAATACCAGGAAGCTTCTGCGGAAGAAACAATTAATAGGACAAATTTTCATGCATATACAGCAATTTAAGCTGATTTTTTAAAAATTGAAACGCGTTCTTTCAGTGATGTTGTAAGGCAATTTTCTAGAATTCCAGTAAAAAATTCGGAAATCAAGATTTGTTTGTTTTCTAATTTGATGAAAATGTTATATATAAAAAGAGTGAAGACTGAAAAGAAAATACAAAAAGGGGGAAAATACATGAAAAAGATCATAATGTACATGTAATTACACAATAAAAGTAACATAATTAAATGAATGGGAAATGTAAAAAAAAAAAACAAAAAAAAAAAACCAACATGTTCTTGAATTCCAAATAATAAAATTATCAAACTGTTGATAAATTGAAAAATTGTTCATTAACATCCGGCCGGGTACCTCCTTGGTTAGTGTAAACTGATCATGAAGCTTTTCACAGATTAAAGCCTAGAAAAATCTCCGTGTATTGGAATGAAGTATTTAAAAAAAAAAATTATTTCGTGTTTGCATTGCTATCTTAAACTTTGTCATAATCCTGAAGGTGAGGGGGATTAAGGTACGAATGTTCTTTTAGGGACACGTCATACAAAAAAATATCAGAAGTGGTTTATATTTTGTAAACTTTCATGTTCAAAATTGTACCTTTCTGCAACCATTCTTATTAAGCTATGCAACGTGCTGTTACTTACAATATCATTATTTTGAAAATTTGAATGTAAAATTCAAATATGTTTGGTTAAACATATCTATTCTACTAATATAAATATGAAAAGTTTTAATTTTCAAGAAGTTTGATAAAATAAATGTTTGTATCATCTGTCCATAAATAACTATTCTTATAATGTAGATAATTTTTAGTTTTGCAATAAAAAATGCAGTCTTATTTTCATGCTATTTTTTATGTCAACTGAATCCCACCCTCCAACATCCTTTCATCCTCTTCCATAACTTCAGTACTTATCAGAATGATCTGGAATTAAGAAACCTCTATAACTGATTGGTCCAATTAGTAACCAATTTACACCCCATTTAGAGAGATCCGTATAGACGACAGCTGTGTTACACCGGAGGCGATTTAGTGAGCACCTAATCGTCAGAACAGTAAACTAAATGCTAATTATACATGTACATGTATCAATTCATTTATGGCCAGAAACATGCACGCCAAAGATAAAATGATTAAGAATCATTTAGTAAAATGTTCACTTCCGATATAAGTCATTGTCAAACCATATAATTAAATGCAGTAAAATAAAATATTCACCCTATATGTCAATAACCATGAATGTGTATATCAAAGTCCATGCAAAGTCTTTTTTAATTACCAATAAATTAAATTAGTGTAAATTGTACAACAATTTTAAAACTGAAAATCTGACATATACAGACAATGTATAAATAGGGATGGGAAGCGCCTACGGCACTTTTAGTGGTTTTAATAGCTTCATTCTAAGCGTAAACGTTTTGTATGCGTCGCAAAATTCTATAATAGGTTATTTTGTGATTATAAATAAACAGTTACTTTTCTTTGGAAAATTAATTTTTCAAGAATGTTTAAAATCATAATTAGTAAAAATTGGTTGTGATTTAGCTTGAATCTAACCAACCAGTACCGTAAATTTTTGCGATAACAGATATGTCAGACTTAAAACACTATTACTTTTTAATTATGTTTCCGTATATACAGTTTTCTAAAATGTGTACGTGTCAAAATGTTGTAAAGCAGTAAAATAAAAAAAAGGTTGTAAAGCAGTAAACTAAAAAAAAAAGAAAGAGAGGGTAAGAAAGAGGGAGAGAGAAGTGAGAAAGAAATATGATGGGAGTGGGAGACAAAGGTTAGGGAAAAAAAGAAGAGAAAATTTTTCCGTTCTTTTTACTTGCCCTATTCCTATGTCTTCTCGAATCCCCGCACCTGGTTGGAGTGGGGAGAAGAAAACTCTCTCATTCCCAGCTTTGGAGAAGAGAGAGAGAGAGAGAGTGGGGGGAGAAAGAGGAGAGAGAGAGGGAGAGAGAGAGAGAGAGAGAGAGAGAGAGAGAGAGAGAGAGAGAGAGAGAGAGAGGAGGGCGGGCGAGAGAGAGAGAGAGAGAGAGAGAGAGAGAGAGAGAGAGAGAGAGAGGAGAGAGAGTGGGGAGGCAGAGAGGGGAGGGAGAGAGGAGAGAGGAGAGAGAGTGGGGAGAGAGGAGAGTAAGTGGGGAGAAAGGGAGATGAGAGGGAGAAAGATCGTGGGGAGAGAATTTGGATGGAGGAGAGGGAAGAGTGAGAGAGAGGTGGAGATTGGGGATAGATGAGAGAAAGTTAGGAGACACTGTGGAGAATCAAGAGAGCGAAAGAGGGGGAGAGGAGAGAAAAGAAGAAGAGAGGGGGGGGTAGAGTCAAGGGGAGAGAAGAGACAGAGAAGAGAGAGAGGGGGGGGTAGAGTCAAGGGGGAGAGAAGAGACATTATGTGGAAAAATCAAGACAGTTAGTCGGGGACAGAAAGGGATTATGAGAGGGTTGTTTTTTGAAGGATATAATAGAGAGTACGGACAGTACCAAGGGATAGGTGGAAGGGAGGAAAACAGAAAGCAGTTGGGATTGCGGAAGTGGGAGAGAAAGGGAAATGGGAGAAAGTATTGTGACAGGGGACAGATCCTTCAAACGTTGATGAGAAAACTTTACAGAAATCCGAACATTAGAAACTGTTGTTCTTCATGTGTTCTTATACTATTATTATACCGGTATAACTAGTACTAACAATAAAGGAAGAAGAAAGCAGCAACTGAATCTGAAACAATTTTTTTAAGTGTACCCAAAGGAGAGACAGAGTTTGGGATATTAACTGTCTGTCGGTCACATCTTAAATTCAGAAACTATAATATTTGGAAACATGTTGCTTGGCAATAGTCAAATGTAAGATTTTACCTGTTTGGAAGTTTGACTATCCATGCATTTTAGTTATAAATCGAGTAGCAAATAAATGCCTTCCATTGATTGCCCCATTTCGATGTCACATTTCCAGCATTATATTTCCTGGTGCTTTCTTTATATAATCCCATTTTGTGGTCTCCAAAAGTCGAATGCAAAATTTACAGCGTGTATCTTAAAATTGCATCCGTCTTGTTTTGTGAAGTCAATGTGACTCTGTTTACTGTGTTCTCCAATCGTGGTTCATTCCTCGCTACAATAGCCGTAAAAAGAGTATCTACATGACATGTACATGCTCAACAATTTGAAAGAAAAATTATAAATATGGAGAGAATGAGCTTGATAAACGTGGGAGTCTGAGTAGTTTATTTAAAACGTGCTGGGATCAAATATTTGTGAAGTTTTGATTACAGTTTACTATAATGGATGATGATATTCAGTAATTTAAGCTACTTTTCACTGTAGATTCAAGAACATTTGATTACTACTTCCAAAATTCTTCTAAACCTTTTAATCATTTGGAAAACCTTATTTCAGATGTAAGAAATTCTATTCAAGAAATTCATTCCAATGAACTTGGATTTTTAAACTTTTTACCAGTGTGTTGCAAATCACTATATAATAAATGAAATTTTAAATCGGCAAATCAATAATATGAAATGGCAAATGAAATGTCTCCTTTTGCACTTTCAAACTCTTTCCTGATGCAAATGTGTAAGAGCGTTTTCGATTAATATTTTCGAAATAATACCCTTCCCCCAACTTTCAGAGGGGGACAAAAAGGATTACGATCAAAAGGAATAGCGAAACCTTCGTACCAGGAGCCGAGTCTGAAGCCTTTTAGTAAAAGGAAACAATTTACTTCAGTTAAGGAATAGAGATCCTGGAAAAATCAACGAACTAAACCTAAAATGTTTAAGCACAATTTTTTTTTATTTATTACTTAAAACAATCACTTCACAAAATGTTTGTATATAAAACTCACCAATCAATGATAAAAAATGAATATACATGTATTCTCATTATATGTCACATCTACAAATGTATACACACTCCTTACATAATACAAGGCCCATAGGCCACAACGCTAACCTCATGGATCTTTCTTTTCCTGATAATGAATGATAAATAAAACACATATTTAGAACTGTAAAATGAATGCCCATGATATTCAATTCACCGTTTCGGTATAATGAAATTCTGTACTGTAGAAACATATGTTTGTGGAGTCTAATTTTCTTGAGTTAAAAAAAACTATGGAATTGATTTTCTGGATGGTGACTTGACATTGCGTTTTAGATATATCGTAAATTCGTTGGTCTCTTCATACAGCTAAAAGAACGTGCATTAATCCCTCACTAAGATTTTTTTTAATTTTACAGTAAATTTCTGACAGATCATGATATGTAAAACTATGTTCTCAAATTTGTAGTCCTACAAGGGGCGTGAAATTATCAAACTTGATAACAGAACTTCATGGGGATGCTTTCAAATAATGTTTGTCTAAAACATCCTAATAAACTAATCTTATTTTCGTCCTCGGGGTATATTTCAGAAATAAATATCATGTATATCTGGCACTTTCAAATTTATTTGAAAACAAAGCAAACCTTAGGCGTCTCACTACAACTTACAGTATGTTTAATTCCTTTAAAATAAAGAACAATTTTTAACCAGAAAATACGCTATTCTATTGATTATACATAGGCGTCGGAAGCAAATTATAAGTGGGGTGGCTAATTGAAAGTAGGGGCTAAACCAATAAAAAAGGTAAACCCCCAATATTCAATGTCTATATTATGTCTATCTTTGCAAAAAAAGTGTGTGGGGGGGAGGGCTAACCCCCCTCCCGTTCCGACGCCTGCATGTATGTTATAGAAAAACCCTCTACACAGATCACACAATAAAAATATGCCAGCTGACAGAGGATCGTAGTGACTGTCACTGATTTATCACATAATTTTTGAAAAACACGAGGAAAAAAAATCCACAAAGTAAGATTTTCTTCAAGTTCTTTCGAAACAATATCGGTTAAAAAGTCTGTTATAAAGTTCATTATAATTAAGGTTTTCTTTAAAAAAAATCTGATTTTCTAAAAATTATACTTCTTTGATTTTCACGTTATAATTATTATTAGCTCATAAACACCCATTGCAATATTTCAAACACATAATTCACACACGTACACGTGAGTTCATGTCAAACTTTGCATATTCTAATGTCACGTGATTTTAGCACCACCGGGTAGTACCATATCGCACAGGTATGTTTCTGACTTGCGCATTGCAGCTGAAAACACTATTTTGTCGTATTTTTATGACATTACATTGAAAACTCGTCGATTTTAAAAATATGGAAACCAATCCAGTCATATAGCACCATAAACATGCAAGCATCTGATGAATGCTAATAATCTGTAAAGTGAGCACAAAATGAAACGGCAATCTTGATCTTTATGTAGTTGTGGCACTTCGTCTCTGTGGCAGATCCAGGGTTGTCTGCCCTTGGGTTGAAAGGCCATTCATTTGTCATGAAGTAAACATTTCATTTACTAAAACAGAAATGCAATATTGAAAATTCAGTATATTTAATTTTACTTGCTGATTATCGATAAATATAGTGTTTAACAAATTAAAGCAATCTGAAATGTGCAATTATTATTACTAGAGTATCGTATAAGCAGAATTTTTAGCGAGGATTTCATTTTGGCACTATGAGCGAGGGTGCTGAGATCGCTAAAATTGCACATCGCTAAAAATCATTCAGCGTAGAGGGGTGGGGGTTGGGGTAAGTCTTTCTTGCGAATTAGTGTCAAATTGCTAAAAGTTCTTCTTTGTTAAAAATATAAACCGACCATAATTACTTTTAAAGAATCTCGCTGAAAATTCAATCTATACGGTACTTTCTCTCTAATAATACACAAAATATAATATATATGAATGTTCTTATTCATATATGTATCCCTTAATGAAAAACATCTTTCTTACCTTTGTAATTAAAATGTTGTTCTATCGTACAAATGTCAGTCTAAAATAAAAGAATATTGTATTTTATTTTAGCAAACATCTACCCATTTACTAAGGTTGGGGTAGCTATTTCATCAAATCCGCGAAAGAATCTATTAATTCCCAGGGGCTATTCTAAGAGGAATGGTTACTATCAAGTGTTTGATTTAAGGTACTTGTTTACTCACGACATTTTAACAACAACGGGTCGCCGTACTTAAAAATGTCGTAAAATTAACTAAATGCGTAAATGAATAGTTTTGTATTTTAAAATATATGTAAGAGTAAAACATTACTTAAACAACCAACATTTGTGTCTTTTTTACTCTAATATTTACAATCTATCGAAAATATACTGTTTACGACATATGCCTTATCAGCGCGGTAAAATGTAAACAATCGTCTGTCATACATGTACGACTATGGCACACTAGGCTTTTCAAAGAAAACGTCACAGTACAGGAAGAATTCTCAGTTGCTGAAAAACCGTTGGGCAGAAAGTAAGGTTAATTTAGACCATGATTATGATGTGAGTCGAGCTGTGGGGGATGAGACTGGAGAAGATCACCATGATGACAATTACCACAGGAGTCGGCAATTTTATCAATAAATAGAAAATAAATGGTAAACAGGCATAAATCCTACCAGTGAGCTTCGCGAGCGTAGCGAGCGAACCAGAACTGGCAGGTAGAGACGTCGCCGTCTCCTTCAACGACCCAGAATATTCGAGGTAATGATGAAGACTATATAGAATAGAATAGAATAGATTTATTCTAGATAGAATGTTCTATCTTTAAAATGATATTGTCCTACGGACCCCGGTTTAACGATAGAATTCGTTCCGTGTATTCGTAATGTAGCAAAAGAAACATGGGCGATAACTCGTACTCACTATAACTCAGTGCATTTACTAAGAACAATCTAGAGAGTTCCGAATGTAAACATGGAAGGTAAATTTGAAGCGAGAGAAAAACGTTGAGAAAATTAATTGGATTTTCGTCTTTAGATGGATTCTTTACTGGGATAAAAGGCATAAGCAATCTCAAAAAGGTTTGTTTTGATTAATTTGGTAATTTCCAGTGCAAATCCTTTTATATTCTTCAAAATCGTTTCGGAGCGGATCAGCTCCGATTTGCTACATTGCAAGTATATGGGACGTATTCTAACTGTGGTGAGGGCTTGTACCGCTAACTGTGGTGAGGGCTTGTACCGAGACACGTGGTGAGGGCTTGTACCGAGACACAGTTAGATCATTCTAACTAGATTTATTCCAGATCAGGGCCCTTGTGGGCATATTACATACATGATTATTAAACAGAGCATGTAATAGTTATTAATAAGATGTGATGTGTTCTTAGTACATGTATATACTTAATAATTTACACATGGTTCATAAGTTGAAATAATTGCTAACATGTGAACTTTAAATACATATTGTAATTAAAAATATATAAAGAAGTACCACCGTGTACCATAATGCAAAAAAGCCAGAGATATACATACACAGAAATGAAAAATATATATATATATATATTTTTTTTATACATACCAACACATACATACATACACGTATATATACATGTCCACACACATACATACTGAGTAGCTATATTCCACTAAATTGCAAAAGATACCACGGGACAGTGCATTGGTACTTTATAATTCACCATGTTTTGTTTGCATATCTTATGAACAAGTAATATTTATTAAGTGTTTGAAGTATACAAATTTTTTTAATTTCTTAATACATGTACTTTATTGCACCCTTGATCAATTCACAAGAACTTCACTATAGATTCTTTCTTTTTTTTTTTTTTCTTTTTTTAAATTTAGTACATACAGTGTTTACATGCACCTATTATTATTATAAAGAGAAATACCACATTATATGCATCAGTATTTTATATGGCTTGTCTAACCAGTTCACAAACAGCTGAAAGTACTTCAATATTTTCACAATTTAGAACCCACAACAACTTATTTTCATTATTTAAATGAGAAAAATTGATACAGTGTCTTTGTATAACATTAATCATATTCTCTCGTTCTGTAACAAAACTCAAACATTCAAAAAGTGTGTGTTTTTCATCTTCAATAACATTCATTGAGCATTTAGTACAAAGTCTCTGATCTCTAGGAATGCCAAAGTACCGGCCTCTTTCAATTTGTAAATTGTGAGAAGATGTACGCAACCTACATATTAATTTTCTTTGTTCAAATGGCAGGCATAGTAAGTATTTTTCAAGTCCAAAATTTGTTTTAATCTTAACATAAGTATCCAGTTTACCTTCTTGTAACAATCTAATCAAGTTCCACTCATTCATGTAGTATGAAATTAAATGTTTTTTGCATTTTATCTTGAAAGTTTGCAATTTGTTAGACAAAATATCCTTATTAACGTTTATCGTTTCTGCAATTTTACTATATGTTCCATACCAAGATGGTATACTGTTACTCCAATTAATCTTACTTTGAGAATATGCTGCTCTCAATAATGGGAATGACATATCTAGACATTCTAATCTATGGACATAATTCAAAATACTTTTTATAATATCAAAATGAAGGGGGAGCCTACCAAGCTCAGATAATGAGGAGAAGTTTGCACTTTTCCTATGCAGTCCCAATATATTCTTACAAAATTTTAAGTGTAGATTCTCGCACTTCTACTTACTAAAAATATCATATACAGAGAGTTTGGAGGTTTTACGAAAAATACTTGGTCGATTAATGTTCCCCCATATTTCACATCCATAAAGCAAGATGGGTTTTATTGTATGATCAAATACATGTAGGGATGTTTTAACACTTGGCTTCAAAGACAAAAATTCTTTTTGCAGTTTATAAAATGCCTTTAGAGCTTTTTTATACAGGTCTTCCTGAGCATATGAGAAGGTTCCAGAGGCACTATATAGAATCTCTTAATGACAATATTCTGTATATGTTTTAAATATGCGTAAATCTTTCGACACGAATTATCGTTGCCTACTGTACATGAAATAATAAACACTGATTTATAAAGAGATCGAGGGATTTAACCAAATCCATCAGCTGCCAATCTGATGTACAATGTCAGTAACATGTAACCTGCTCAACTGCTGAATCTCTTGTAAAAAATAAATAAAGTATAGTCAACTTGTAATGATTGCATTGACTGCCTATTTTCCAAATATGTTTTTAAAATAGTTATATGAATTATGAAAAAAATATTAAACGATTGGTTCAACAGGTCCAGTCCAAATACTATTTCCACCTACAAAGCTACGTAGGTATTTAAACCCACCCAAAGTAGCAATTTTTACCTACGTTTGGTATTATCTACATTCTGTGGCAAAATGAATGAACAGCGCAACATGGTGAATACCATCATTTTTGATACAGTCACACTAATGATGAATAAGACAAAATTTTGACCAAAAATTGATTACTTTCTGAATCGGAAATTTTACATTAGTTTCTATGCAAAACTGATAAAATAGGAAGTAATCATTTTTTGGTCAAATTTTTGTCTTATCCATCATCAGTGTGACTGTATTAAGAAATTCAGTGCTCACCCTGTTGCGTCGTTCATGCATTTGGCCACAAAATGCAAGTAAAACAGAAAGTAGGTAAAAATAGGTTCAAATACCTACGTAGCTATTAATAGCTACGTAGGTAGAAATAGTCTGTGGACTGGACCTGCAGGGTTCGACATTAACGTTAGTCCGTTAGTCTCAGACTAATACATTTCATCCGGACTAAGAAAATTTGCGGCTGAATAGTCCGAACGGACTAATAAAGTTTTCTGGAAAAAAATAAAGAATTTACTGATGTTCAATTATCGACAACTTTCACTGGGAAACCCCGTATGTATTTTTAGCTTTCTAGCTTCTTAGCGGGAAGTTAAGTAATTCTGAATCAATTCGATGCTTAATTTTAGGAATCATTGGTATGAAATAAAACTTTTAGCAATACAGAAAAATGTTGGACGTTTGAACGATGTAATCATGTATAGAGAAAAACGAACAAATACGATGGTACATGTAGTTCCTGATCGAATAATTTCAATGAATCTTGATATAAAACATTTCATGCAAATGCTTTGTTTATTTCAAATAAATTAAAAAAGTACATTTAAATGTTTATATTCTATTTATTATTGATATTTTTTTACGGACTCATAAAATCAGCCACGGCCTAGTAAAAGTAAAGAAGCACTAGTCCGGCTAGACCAAAGCCTAAAAATGTAAGTGTCGAACCCTGACCTGTTCAATTTTATTGCATGATCAATGCACAATTGTTTCAATGTATTCATCATTTACAGTGTTTTCCTTTTATTTCAAAGTAAAGAGTTAGAGATCAGTTGTAAAAGTCTAGGGTATGAGGTTTATGAACAAAATTTCTGTGGACCTTACAACAAAATATTTCAAAGCTGCATTTTGGTCAGTTGAAGCGGTCAATTTGGCCGGTTGCCGGTTCTTAGGGAAGACACTGCATTTAACTTTTAAGTTAATGCAAACAACACTTTTTTTTTTCTTAATTAAGATATGACACTGCATGGAGAGAAGGGAGAAGGGTGGTGGAACTTGGGGTATTGGCAGATGGGCTCTCGGGTTGTGGAGTTTGTGGCATACCTCTCCATCTTTCACATACCTTGGGGATACTAACTTGTGGCTTGGGTTCATTCCTGAAAGTCCAGTGTCAGAATACAGCGTGCCATCATGTAAATAAAATAGCCACTGGAAAGCGACATGGAAAAATATGGGATGCAAATACCAAGCTTGCCACAGGTACATATTTTGTATTAATTTTTCAATTACAGAACATGTATATTATTATGAATGAACCAGATTAATTTCCTGTCATAAATTTGTTCTATTTTTCATAAATTAATGCATCTGAACTATATATTTTTAGGAATGGTGCATACAGGCATGGGGCCCTCTCAAGTGAATACCTTCCTAACATCATTGAATATCCCCCCAATCAGTTCCCGAACTCTGCAAAACAGACAAAATGAAACAGGAACAGTAATGGAGAAAA